TGCACTCCAGTCTGGGCGACAGAGTGAGACTCCAACTCAAAAAAAAAAAAAACCCAAAATTTTTTTATAGAAACAATGTCTCACTATGTTACCCAGGCTGGTCTCAAATTCCTGGATGCAGGTGACCTTCCCACCTCTGCCTCCCTACGTGCTAGGATTCCAGGCATGAGCTACCATACTTGGCCTCAACTTTATATTTTTGAGATTCACCTATGTTGCATAGTTCAGTAGTTCATTCTTTTTTCATTTATGTATAGTAGTAATTCCATTGGACAAACATACTACAATGGTTCATCTAGTCTCCTCTTGGGGGACATGTAGATTGTTTCCAGGTTGGGGCTTTTAGGAACAGTGTTGCTGTGGATATTTTTGTACATGTTATTTAGTGAATATATGCACTCTTTCTCTTGGGTATATTGAGTAGCATTGCCTAATTGTTGTGTTATAGGGAAGGGTCATGTTTAGTTTTAGTAGCCAATGCCAAAAGTATTGCAAAGTGCTTGAACCAGTTTACACCGCTGCCAGCAGTACCTGAGTGTTCTGGCTGCTCCGTGGTCTCACCAAAACTTGATATATTCAGTTTCTGTTTTTTATTAATACTTTCATTTTGTGGGCTGGGTGTGTCAGTTCACACCTATAATCCCAGCATTTTGGGAGGCTGAGGCCGGAGGATTACTTGAGCCCAGGAGTTCAAGACCAGCCTGAGCAGCATAATGAGACCCCATCTCTATTTTTTTTAAAAAAACCTTTAATTTAGTGAGTTGGTATGTTATATTGGTTTTAATTTTTATTTCCCTAATGTCCTCATGCTCTCTGGCCACTTGGGTATTTCGTGAAGTGTCTACTCATTTTTAATGGAGTGGCTGTTTTTTCTTAATGGATTTGTAGAAATTATTTTCTGGATATGAGTCCCATATGTGTATTTATGTATGTGTCTTTTGATAAACAGGATTTCTTAATCAGTTTATCAATTTTTCTTTCATAGTTTTTCTGTGTCCTACGTTAAGAAGTCTTTGTTTACCCTGATTAACAGAATGTTCTATCTCTTTACAAAGATTGATAATTTTAACTTTTACTATGATTCACTCAAATTAATTTTAGTGTATGATGTGAGGTAAGAGTCTAGACTCATTTTATTTCCATTTCAATATCCGATTTCTCAAGCACTATTTTTTGAGAAGACCATCCTTTCACATTGAATGACAGGAATGCATTTGTTGTAAATCAGTGGCCATAAATAATGGGTCTCTTTTTGGACTTCATATTATTCTTCTTGGTCAGTTTTTCTAACCTTGCACCAGCACCACACTGTCTTAATTAATATCCTTTGTGTTAGTTTTGAAATTTGGTATGATGTTCCAACAAGATTGTCTTAGCTTTCACAAACTTTGTATTTTTATATAAATTTTAGATTCTGCTTGACAGTTTACACAAAAATATTTAACTGAAAGTTTGATTAGGATTACATGATTTTGTTTGGGAAGAGCTAGCAAAAATGTTAAGTCTTTTGATCCATTGAACATGGGATATAACTCTATTTATGTCTTTTCTAATTTCTCTCAGCAGTGTTTTATTTTTCAGTCCGGAGATATTCCATATCTTTCTTTGATTATTCTTAGGTATTTGATATTTTTTGTGTTACTATAAATGGTATTATTTTTTAAAATTCTGTTTTGTTGTTAGTATATGAAATATAAATGATTTTTGTATATTGCCCTGGGATCCAGTGACCTTGCTAAATTTATTTTTTCATTCTGATACTTTTTATAGATTAGATTTTTTTTTTAAGAGATGGAGTCTCAGCCGGGCTCGGTGGCTCAGCCTGTAATCCCGTGCCTTTGGGAAGCTGAGGTGAGTGGATTGCCTGAGCCCGCAGATTTGAGACCCGCCTGGGTAGGCGAAACCTCATCTCTACAATAAATCAAAAAATTAGCCGGGCATGGTAGCGTG